AAGCTGGGCATTGTGGTGGGTGCTTATAGTCCCAGCTACTTGAGAGGCTGAGGCAAGAGAATCGCTTAAGCCCAAGAGTTTGAGGTTGCTGTGAGCTATGATGCCACAGCCCTCTACCAAGGGTGACTTAGTGAGACTCTGTCTCAAAAAAAAAAAAAAAAAAAAGAATAGTCTAAGGCAGTGGTTCTCAACCTTCCTAATGCCGTGGCCCTTTAATACAGTTCCTGTGGGTCATGACCCACAGGTTGAGAACCACTGGTCTAAGGAGTCAGTGGCAGGTGAACAAGCTATGGACTTAATTTTCACTCGGCCACAGAAAAAGTGAAAACATGGACAGAAAAATACAAGAAACTCCCTCAGGGAGCCATCCAATCACCTCCTCCTGCCCCTTCACACACATCACCGGGGGCCTCATCAGAGAACAGAGAAAGAGTCAGATACGCTCAGCGCCTTGTGAACCACAGGTACCTGCCGAGGCTGAGGCTCCTCCAGGGCCACCGAGCACACTGGTGAGCTCGGTGAGCTGCAGAAGACAACAGAATGGTCACAGCAACCACCAAACAAGCGCCGAAAAGCCAGCTCATGCTTCGTTGTGGCCAACGTGGGTCTCATTTCTGCCACATCTGTGGTCTATAAGTGCAAGCGGGTTTCTGTGTAACCCACATGACACAGAGTTGCGGCACAAGACGGGACAGTTAGCAGGGAATGGCCACGCTGTGCTTGTCAAACCACAGAAGAATTTCCAGAAGAGCGGCCTCACATACAGCATGACTGCGAGCCTGTCCTCTGAGAGCTACATCCTAAAGGAACAAAGCAGCGATTGGCAGTGACAAAGCCCTCCAAATACGCTCAACAATCCTGTGCCTCAGCCAGCTCTCCTGGACAGCAATGCCCATGACCCATCTCTGTGACACATTTTTTCATATGTCGTATTTTCTTTTTAGTTTGTTTTTTTGTTTTAACTGCAGCTCTACCCCACCCCACACCCCGATTCCCACATGACAGATGGTGCCAGGCCGTGCAGGACTCTGGGGAACGTTCTGGGCTGGGCCCAGGCCCTTTGAGGGCACAGCCTGTCTCGCTGATGCCCCTCGAGGGCCTGAGCCACTGGGCCTGGCCACACCTCTGGTTTTTTGGCTTTTATTCTATAGTTTTCTCCCACACAATTTTAAATTGTCAGGATTATTTTTTACAATTTGCTATGCTGTATTTCATCTTTGCACCATTTCTGATACTGGAGATGCACATTATGTTGAGACTTTCAGAGGGTTCTACTTCATTTCAGGCATTTTATTTTGCAAATCTGGCTCCATGAAAGTGCAGCGTCACAACACTGGCTTTGTGTGTACTGTGCATGTGTGTAAAAACTTTCTGATAAATGACGAGATGCCCTTTTGTCCATCTGCATCTTTGAAAGACAGAATTTCTTAGGATCTGGGCTCTCTGGGAGAAGGCACGTGTGGCACTAGCCTAGCCAGGCTTCCAGGGTCACTGGCTGCGGCGTTTCTACAACCGCGGCTACTAAGTGCGGGGAGTGTGACCGCCAGCTACAGGGCTGTGCGTTTACACATCTCTCTCTTCTTATACATTTGACCTATTTCTTCAGGAATCCAGCCCGTCTGCTCACAACGGGTACTCCCGGGCCGTCGCTATGCCTGCTATGATCACACCAATGCACCGTCACTGTTGCTTATTTTACTGTGTGAAGTGGCTTATGAGGTGTTTTGTCACGTTTTCATATGTTTCTCAGATAAATTCCCCTTTTAAAAGGTGAATACAGTTCTTTTAAAGAATCTTGTAAATTGTTTTATCCAGAACCGTATTTTTGGGGCTTCAGCATCTGAGCTGATGGCTGGGTACTGACAGCCTGCAGCAGCCACCCCTTCCGAGCTCTCTCCCCACCTCTCACCATCAGACGGACATGAGGTCGTCCTCCCCACCTGAGAAGCCAGGGTCAGGGGAGGGATGCAGCCAGGCACAGGAGGTGAGGGGCTGGAGGGGCATCGGGGAGACAGGCTGTGCCCCCAAAGGGCCTGGAACCTTTCCCAGAGCCCTGAATGACCCAGCAATATCCACCATGTAGAAACTGAGGCCCGAGGCCCGAGGGGTAGGCTGCAGTTAGAAGACACTCACTCCCTCCAAGACAGAAAAACTCTGGTGTCCATGGCTAAGGAGAACCACCACCATTCACCAAGTGAGGTGTGACCCTAAAGACACAAACCCAGGACAAAGTGGTCCACAGGGCTCATGGCCAGATGCACCTTGTCACCATGAGCTGGGGGGAACTTGGGTAGGACAGGTGACACCCAAGCACACCCATGTGACACATTCATACCCATAGGGAGACGCCAGATGTGTTCAGATGCACACGTGTGGGCACACGCACATGTGCTCACACGCCTACCCAGTAGAGGCACGCGCTTTCCTTCCACCCCGTCCCCCAGTTATGGGACCAGTGTCCACTCCCTGCTGCAGGAACCCCACAGAGTCCCTCTGAGCTCCCACTCAGTATCCCAAAGCCTGTCTGCCCTGCCCCTCAACCAGCCAGCACTGGAATCAAAACATAATCGTCCAGCATGGCCCAGGGACAGAGGCAATTCTGCCACTGGGCACTCACAGTGACTCAGGACAAAGTCTAGCCTGGTCTCCATCAGCTCCCGGGCACTGCAGAGCCCACCCAAGGCCACATAGGGGGTGGGGTGGGTACCCAGGATGGCAGCTAAGTTGCTCCTGAGGGACAGCTGTCCAGGTGGCTCAGGGGTCTGGCAAGGATGCTCTGACATGGGGCCCATCTCTCTGTCCTTGGCCTCTCCCTGCTTGGCACACGCCACCTGTCCCTTCTTTTTGGCCCAGCCCACCCTCCTGGCACGAGGCAGGGTAGGCTGCAGTTAGAAGACAGTCACCCCCTCCAAGATAGAAAAACTCTGGCAAGAAAACTCATTCATCTCAGGACCAGCCCTGACACCCCTAGACACCAGGTCGGCCCGGAGGGACTGCCTGGACGAATTAGTCCCTCACAAAAGTGTGGGCTAGAAAGAGGCGGAGGGCCACTGGGCTCAGGCTCACTAAAGAGGAAGCTGCCAAGTTCACAGCCGGACCAGTCAGGCGTCAAGGGATGTGCCTGGCCACAGTGACTTCCAGACAGGACCTGCAGACTGCCTGTCACAGGAAGGGAAACAGCAGAGTCCAACGTGTCCATCCTGGCTCCAGCCACAGAGGAGCACTGCACCAGCCTTGCCCAGACTACAGGCTGAGAGTAGTGGTGAGGCCAGGCCCTGGGCCAGGAGTGGCCTGTGTGTCAGTCCCAAGTCTCAGCAAGATCACTCCTTCTGGTCATTCATCCCCAGGGACTAGGACCTGCCCCTTGGAAGTGCCTACTCCTGCCCAGAATTCCAGGCGCTGCCCCCAGGTAAACAAATGCCCAAGAACCACTTCCCTGGGTGCAAATGTCCCCACCGTGGTCCATCTCAGGATGGCAGGAGAGGCCGAGTCAGCTCTGGGAGCCAGACACTCCGTACACCCTGGTGACATGCCCCAGGTGATTAAGATGGCAAGAAGTGAAGCAAGGAGTTAGTTCACAGACTCACGCCCAGAGAGGCCCCCATGTGGAGCCCAGGCACACTGCCCGTAGCCACTGGCCATGAGGCTCTGCGGGGCTGGAAATTGCGGCCAAGTCAGGAGGCCTCCCTGCTGGGAAGTAAGACCACCATGGAGTGGACTCTTGCACTCTTGGAGTGCAAGACGGCCCCACCGCCCAGAAGACCCTTTGCAGCCTGAGCCCAGGGAGCCCCCTCTGAGGGTTACAGCTGCCCATCAAGAGCCCAGGGACTGTGGGGTACTGTCCAGATGAGGCCACCCTAGAGACTGGGAGCAGACTCATGGCTGCCACAGCTGGTGGTGGGGAATGGGGTTGATGCTAATGGGGGTGGGGATTTTATTAGAGGGGCAAAAATGTTTCAAAGTTGATCGTGGTGATAGTTGCACAGCTCTGAATATACTAAAAACCACCATAAGTGGGCCAGTTGTTGATGTGTGACGTGCTTCTCATTAAGGGGGGCTGTGCCAGACGCTTAGGGCAGGAGGAACCAGCACATTGCTGCCTGCCATGGATCAGACAGACTTACTGGAGGAACACCACAGAGGGAGAGGGAGACGCAGAGATGGGACCATGCAACCTCAGATGTGAGCCTGGGCAGGCTGGAAGCCTTGTGCCAGTGCAGCTGTCCCAGGCCAGTGACAGGTTGGGGCAGCGAGGGCTTCGGGGGCTGGGAACACTGGGCATAAGTGAGCCCAGCTTGGGAAAGTTCATCAAGCACTGTTCTGTCCCTTTTCTCCAAGGGGATTCAAGGAAATCCACGTGGGCCCCACAGCAGAGCTCAACTGCACCAGGTAGCAAACGTGGACAGGGAATGCATCAGTTACCTTGCCCACCAATAGACTGCCCACCTGCCCTAGGAGGGAAGGGCCACATAGGCAGACCTGGCCAGGGGGCCCTACTGTGCCCTGAGCCCTGTGGGGGACTTAGAGGGCAGCATCCTGGACCCTATTCCATGTTGGCCTCAAGCCTAGCCTCAGTACAGAGGGTCTGGGACCCAGCAGGTGGCCTGGGGCCAGCTGCTCAGGGCTGCCAAGCACCCTGTGCCCAAGTTCTCAACAAGGAGGGACCTCCCTAATACCCAGCAGGTAGGTGGATCTGGGTCCCTTCCCTTAGTGCGGAGGAGAAGGAAGCACCACCACCAAGGGTGAGGCTAGGACAGGACAAGCCACACCTACTGTGAGAGGTGACCAGAGACTCTCCTGGCCCTCCAGCTTAGGTGAGCATCCTGTTGCCTCACTCCCTGACACTGGGCTGCCCTGAATCGCCCTGGTAGAGGCCCTGCCCACTTGGCATGGCCACCACCTCTGGTGGGAGCAGAGGCCTCCTAACCACAGCCCCAGACTCCCACCCCAGGGCTGGCAGTGGCAGAGGGGCCTGCATCCTCCCAGAAATCCCCACGTACCGGCTCTGGGCAGCTGATCCCACGTGGCTCTAACTGTGGCTCTAATCCCAGAGTGACCCTCAGGACCCCCCTCCCACCTTGAGATCCCCCAGCCTCCTGACCCCAGGCCCTGCCTCAGGACTTGGCATGGACGCCGCCCAGAGAGGTAGCCTGGGAACTGGCTCAGCCCTCACTGCCCTCATTTCCTCCGCCACTTCCTCCACTGGGGGCGGGGAGGCTGCAGCCGCCTGTCCTACTGGCGCTAGTTCCTCTGGCCAGGGGCCAGGCCCAAAGGGGCCAAGACTCCAAGGCCCTCCTGGCACTGTGGGCTGCGGGGAGGGGCTACAGGGGTCATTCCACATGGATCCATGCCACCTGGGGACAGGACGGCAGGCCCAGTAGACAGCAGGTCGGGGTCACACAGAGGTTCACATCAGGCTCCCACCTTGGGGGGGAGTTGAGTTGCTTCCTGCTATCCCCATGCTTAGCCACAGGGCAGGTGGCCTGGCAGTGCACCAGGGGAAGTTCCATGAGCAAGAGATGGTAGCCGGGTGATAACAGGCCCACCCAGCACAGCCAAGCAGACCCTCCGTGAGCTGTGGACTCCCTGGCCCTCGCCTGCTGCCTGGGCCCCAGCTGCGTGAAGATAGGGCATTGACACCTCCTAGTCAAGTGACTTGGCATCTTCCAAGGCCCAGGACATGCATGTCCTCATGTTTTATCCCAAGGCTAACCTTTGAGGGCTGACAATGTCCAAGTTTACACCAAAGAGATGGGGCAGGCATGAAGGCCAGCATGGCCCCTGGAGCAGTGTCCTGGGGCTGCCCTAACAGAGGACCATAATCTGGGTGGACAAAACAACAGGACATTATCCTCTCAGTCCCCGAGGACAGAAGTCGGGGGCCCAGGTGCTGCAGAGCACACCCCTCTGGAGGCGCTGAGGGTCCTCCATTCTTCTTCCAAGTGCTCTGTGGCCTGTGGCTGCATCACCACATGACCTCCTTCCTGTGTGTCTGCCACGAGGACCCCCTGAACAGTCCTACCTCATCTTGACTCAACTGCATCTGCAAAGACCCTTTCTGAGGGTCTGGCGAAAGGTGGAAGCCTTAGGGAGCCCCTGGAGCCGGGGAATGTGGGATACAGGGAGGATCCCAGCGGATGGAGGATGGTGCTCCCCAGGTCACCAGCTACTGGTGAGAAAGGAAGGTTTGCAGCCTCATGGCAGTCCTGGACCTGCCACAATGAGTCCTGGTTCCCTCAGGGACCTCCCAGAGTGGACACTGCCCAGCCCCACAGCAGAGGCAAAACAGACACACGTCCAAGGTCACACAGCAGGGCTGGCCCAGGACACCACTGGCCAGGGATGACCTCTTCCATGGAGGGCTCAGAGTTGGGAACTGAGTGGCAGCAAGTATGATGGGGATTCCCTACCCCTAAAATGCAAAGGTGCCAAGTGGACCTTCCCACATGGCCACATGGCACAGCAGCCACAGGTCTACCCACCCAGCTCTGGGAACAGGGGGAGGTGGCTGCAGACCTGGCCCACAAGCTGGGCTGCTCACTGCCACATACCCCCAGCTCAGGCCAGTCCTTGGGTCACTGGACTGTCCACCAAGGGAAGGGCACAGCCTGGCCTCCAGGAGATGGCAGGACATTCTGTCTCCCCAACATGCCTCTCGCCAGGTGCACACATCCAAGCTGGCCCCCCTCCCCAGCAAGTCCACCACCTACCTGGTCTTCTTAACTAAACTTTCTTAAGAACCTGCCTCAGCCTGCCCATCTGTCTCCTATGGGTCTCAGTGAGGAGAGACCCACCCTCTCAGAGTGTCCAGACTAAGTGAGCCAGCATTGCCAGGCACAGGCCCCTCCCCTGGGATACCTCAAGGTGCCCCCACCACCAACCCCTCTGTTCCCACCTCATAGATTAGGACACTGAGGCACAGAGAGGTCTCATGAGTAATCTCCCACTCCTAATGGTGCAGAGTGCCCCCCCACCCCACCCCCCCGCCAAAAGGCTGAGGGCTCTGGGCCTGCAGCCTAGGACAGCTCCAGGGCATGGATCACGACTGTGCCTTCTGGGTACCTGCTGAGGTCCCTCTGCCTACACCTGGCTGGACTGAGGCCGGAGAAGGTGAGAAACAAGGGCAGCCCCTACCTTGGAGCACTCTGGTGGGAGCCATGACCCCCCTCCCTCGAGGCCATGTTACCCTTCCCTGTCAGCCTGGCCCAGCTCCCCTGTGGCCCCTAGGGCTCCCTGTCACCCTCACTTCTTGGCATCTATGTCCTGTTCACTTAGTCTCCCAGGGGGAGGTTTCACCTGCACAGAGTGGCTCTCAGAGATGTTGGGTGATTGACTAAGGACCACACAGGGCAGAGGCTGCAGGGCTGCGGGCTGCCGAGAACCCCCCCCAGGGCCACCCAGGTCCTGGGTACCAGGGAGCCTCAGGTGGACCTCAGGGAAGCCAGCCCTTCCAGATGCTGGCCCACACCACCCAGGAGTAGGTCCAGGGCCTGGGCCTGGCCCCCTCCACCCTATCCTGCCCATATTTGACCAGGGCTATGTGGCATGGGCCAGGCAGCCCCCAGCATATGCCCAGGCCTCTGCCTCTTTGCTGTCTGCTATGCTGCCACCTGTGCTGTCACCTCTGCAGGGATCACACTGCATCATATGCTGGACGAAGAGCTGCCCCAGGCATGTGGTGTGGCTTGGTGGTTGTTAGGACCTTCTGCCCAGGTACCTGGTGCTGCTGTGGAGCAACCAGATAACAAACTCTGCCATGGCTACAAACGTGAGTCCCCCACCGAGCATTTTGGTGGACCCCCACAGGACCCTCCACCCCCTCCAGTCTGTAGAGGGAGCCAGCAAGCCATGTGGTCTCAGGGAACCTCAGGACAGGGTCTCCATCCATATACCAGCCTCTGAACTAGCAGTCTGGGTAGTGAACGCCAACTACCCACCAAGAACTTACCCTTTCCTGTGGGCACTGTCAGGCCATTTTACAGATGGGAAAACTGAAGGCAGAAGAACCTCAGTGGGGTAGGGGGGGCAGAGGGCTCCTCCCCAGTACCGTGCAGGGGCTGATGCAGAGCCCTGCAGACCCAACCCCTTTCCAGGAGGAGGGTCCTCTTCCCCACCACCACCAGGGCACCCCCCTCTGGCAGGTGGGAAACGGAGCCTATCAGGTGCCCACACCTCTGGCTGAAGTGTCCTACCCCCATCAGTTTCTTTCCCTCTTAAGTCATTAAATTGACACATTATAATCACACTGATGGAAACTGTTCTCTGCTTCCCTAAGGTGGGGGAAGGGGCCTCTCCTGTCCCTAGCATTCCCGCTATAGGAGGGGGTGGCAATGCCTTGCAGGGCAAGCCTGGGCCCAGCAGACAGTGCAAGAGGCAGGGTGCAGGTGGAGGGCTGCCTCCGTCCTGGGTCAGCCACTCCCCTCCTTCCAACAGCTCTAAGGCCGCCACCTGGAGATAGGAGCCTGGCAGAAGGACCCCACACACTGTACAACCCTGGGCATGGGAAGCCATGGCCCCAGAATGCTGACCCTCAGCCACCTGGACAGCTAGGTCTGGGGATGCTCAGCAAGGCCCCTTCCACTCCCTGCCCTTGGGCCTGGCTCATCTCTGCTGCTGAGCTCTGGGCATTTGCTCACCCATGACACTGTGATCTCTGAGCCTGGAGGGTCACCCTGGGAAGTCATTCTCCCCAGCAACACTCACAGCCATAAGCCCAGCAGACAGCGGTCCCATCAGCTCCCCTCCCCCAGGAACAAATGCCTTTAGACTGGGCTCTGCCCAGGGGACCCTGGCGTCACTGCAACGCACACGCACTGGGCCTGGAGCCAGGGAGGGAGACCCAGGAGGGCTGTCACATGCCAGCATGCTTTGTTTAGGTGGGACCCGGCTTTGCAGAGCCCTAGTGACATGTGGGTGGGCCAAGGGTGGGGGTGCATCTCCCACCCGGGCCATGTAGGGGCCAGACCTAAAGACAGGGAGGAAAGCCCATGCCTCCTGATGCCAGATGCAGCCTCCAGCTGTCCCCGGCCTCCTATACCCACCCCAGCTGCCCAGAGCAGCTAGAACGCCAAGCAGCCTTGGGTAAACATGTCCACATCAGTGCACTGGCCATGGGGCTTCATGGCCTGGTCCAGGCCCCCTGCCACCTATTGGCAACACCATCTCAGCCTTCTCCACTGTCTGGGAGTCTGGGCACCACCATGGCCCATCTGTGCTGAGCCCCTGCCCAGTGGGCTCTGTCCTGTGGCCAAGCCACTGATCCCACCTCCCCACACAGCCCTGGGTAGCTGGGCATGACTCCGGAACCAGTGCCAGCCTCCCACAATAAGGCTATGGACCAGCAAGAGGCCAAGGCAGGCCGGAGCCCCCACCAGCTGACACCCCACAGCAACCCCAAAGGCCCTCAGTCCTGGCGACTTCCTCTCCGGCCAGCGGTTGGGAAAGCGCAGGCCCTCCGTGCCCCAGTTACCTGTCCTGGGAGGCATCCACGGAGCTAAGGGGCCGAGCAATGCCAGCCGGCAGCTGGGGAGGCCGCAGCGCCTCGGTCCGCGCCAGGCCTGCCCCCCGTGCAGATCCGGGCCGCTAGGGGGTCCCGGTGCCCGCGCCTCCCGTGCCAGCTGGGGGCGCGGAGCCGATTTCCCCGCAAAGCGGCGCTGGCACCGCGCGCTGGGCGGCGGCAGGTGGGGGCGGCGGGGCCGTGGCACACTCACCGGGGTCGAAATGCGAGCTGAAGGCGAAGCTGGGGTTGAAGAAGGACGACGACATGGCCGGGCCAGCGCGGCGGG